GCTTCCCAGAGAGGCTGTGGAGTCTCCTGCTCTGGAGAGATCCCAAACGTGGCTGGTGTGACCCTGGGCACCCTGCGGGGGGTGAGCTGCTGGAGCAGGGGGTGGGATGAGATGATCCCCAGAGGTCCCTCTCAACCCCACCACACTGGGACCCTGTGGTTCTGTGACTGGCGTGAGGGTCTCTGTTCTCTTCCCTGCCTCCTGCTGATGCCTTAGCTTTAGGTGTGCCTGACCCAGGGTTTCCTCCCTGGAGCCTGGCAGGGGGTGGCACGTTGCCACGAGTAGAGGTGGTCAGGTGAAGACACGACACCAGGCGACCTTATGGTGCCCCACGTGCCCCCCTTAACGAGGGCAGGGGCTTCTCAGGACCTGCTCGTGTGCTAGGGAGGGGTGGGATGGACAGCAGAGCATCCTCAGGCTGGGTGCCAGGGCAGGGTGGCACTTCCAGGGGCAGCTGCCAGCCGTGGAGCAGAGGGTGTACCTGTGGCACGTCCCCGTCTCTGGGCAGGAGCCAGCTTCCCCACGCGTTGCCAGGGTGGCTCGGAGAGGTGCAAAGGTTCTTTGAACGAGCTGGAAGCCTGGGTGAGAGGTTTCTCTGGAAGGGGTGAGGAAGTCTGCTGGCTCTTGTCCAGCTTTGTTACGAGCAGCGAGGCTGGAGCAGGGCTGACTTTGGCCCGTTGCACTCCGGTGGCAGAGTTCAGAGCTGTAAAACCCTCGGCTGGAAGCGTTGCGGGGCGTGGGGCGAGCTCTGCTGGCTCTCCTGAAGTGGGCTGGAGGCTCTGCCAGGGAAACCCCGGTGGTTTTGCCAGCTCCTCTCCATCTGAATGAGCCTACGAGGGCTCGGCGAGGAGCCTGACACACGGGTAACCCCAGCATGAAAGGCTCCAGCTTTGCAGGAGAACTTCAGCGCCGGGATCTTTAACCACAAAGAGCAGAACCTGAGTCATCCAACGCCAGGGGATGAATTTCCTAGAGGATTGCTCCATCAGGTTGTAGAATTCCTGGGCCTGGATCCAGTGGGATGCCATGAACCAGGAGGGGAGGAAACCTGGCGAGAGATGGTTGTCTGAGCTAGAGGTCCTCTTAGCTTGGAGCACCCAGACTTGTGAAACAGCTCTGCAAAACTAGAGCTAATCCAAAGGTTGGGTGAGGGCTGGGTCACTCTCCCAAGGCAGGGCAGTGAGGCTGTGCCAGGCACTTCCCATTTTAGCCTGAATGAGTGGCAACATCCTTTAGTTTTCTAGGGCTATAGCCCAAATTTTTCTCAATTAATTGTCCTGGAGTATTCTCAGTGAATTAAAGGCATTGTCCTAGAATAAAACGCAGTCCCTCAGGCTGCTGAGTTGAAAGGAGACCAGAGCCAGCACACGTGAGGTGGGCTGAAGACCCAACAGCGTGGGGCTCTGATTTCATCCCGTTTCTAGTGTTAAATTCTCGTGCTAAACTCTCACACTAAATCTTGGCAATTTGGGTCAGGCTCTTGTTTCCTTCGAGACTGCACCCTCTGCCTCGCTTACCCCTCGCTCCGGGCACTGCCAGGGAAGTGGGACAGAGGACACCAATTCACTCCCCAGGAGCTTGGCTGCCTCAGACCCTGCAGCTTAAACCACCAGGGTGACTCCCAGACCGTCCTTGGGGCTCTCTCCATGTCCTGCTGGCTGAAGTCCCCGTTGAAGGTTGGCTTCCCACCACCCCCCCCTCGCGCCACCAACCTCCTTTTGCTTGTAAATTTTTTGCCACAGGCACGGTCCGAGATGGACAAATACCTCTCAAACGAGGTGCCCCCCATCCCCATGATGCCAGACAAGAAGTACCGTCGGGAAAGCGCCTCGGTGGTGGACGAGTTCTTCTCCACGGAGAAGCCCCCGGCCGCTCCCTACAGCGTGAACATCAACGTCATCCTGCCCGACACCACCCACCTCCGCACCGGCCTCTACCGCCCCCCCAAACCCCTGGCACCCTTCCCACAGATCAAAACGGAGCCTGGCACCTCCTTCCCCCAGCCCTGCTCCTCTGCCTCCACGCAGACCCTCCCCGACTTCACCAGCGTCTTCAGCATGCCCCAGTCGGTGTCGGTGGCGGTGAACAACATCTTCATCAAGCAGGAGATGCCCTCAGAGATCCCTTTGCCCACCCCTCCGCAGCAGTCTCAGCTGTACCAGATGCCCCTCGGCGGCGCCGACATGAGCACCCTGACCTCCTCCTCCTCCTCCAACAGCACCACGGCCATCAACAGCCTCAGTGGTGTCACCATGGCCACGGGCAACACCATGTCCAGCGTGGTGCCCAGACCCGTGCAGCCAGGAGGGCCGGTGAAGCAGTACCCACATGTCTCCCAGGGACAGGGAAACTTCAACATCTCGGGGCAGTTCTACCCTGCTCCAGGGGTGAACTTGCCCCCTTCGCCCCCCAACTCGCAGCCTGGCAGCCCAGAAAATCAACCCGAGCTCATCAACACCATCTCTCCCCCGCCATCCTACGAAGCCACTTTTGGACTCAAGTTGGTCCAGTCATCCCAGGTCTCCCCAGTCCCCAATGGTCTTGGGACCCTCTCCCAAGGGCACGTTGTCATGCAGCCCCCCAAGTACAACAGACGCAACAACCCTGAGCTGGAGAAAAGGAGGATCCACCACTGTGATTACCCAGGTATGCTCATGGCTGAGGTCCTGGGTTGGTTTTGGGGGTGGTGTCTTCTCAGCACACTGAGGCTGGGGGCTGCCTTGGGCCTCCAAGGGAGTTTAATCTGACATCACTTTGCACGAGGAATTACAGCATCACAGAATGGTAGGGATTGGAAGGGACCTCTGGAGAGCATCTAGTCCAAACCCAAGGGAGCTATGGGGCTGGACTTGGAATGGTTCCAGGGGTGGGGCAGCGACCACCTCTCTGGGCAACCTGGGCCAGGGGCTCATCAACCTTGGTGTCAAAAATTCCTTCCTCCTCTCTACTCTAGATCTCTTTTAGTTTCAAACCATCAGCCCTCGTCCTGTTGCAACAGGCCCTGCTAAAAAGTCTGTCTCCAGATTTCTGGTAGACCCTCTTCAGACACTGGCAGGCCCCAGCAGGGCTCCCCCGCTGGACC